TATTGGAGAAATCAGGCCATTGGGAGCATGCTCTCAATACCTCTATGTTATTCTAGAGCCTACCACTGGAGCAAGGGCAGGCAAGATCACCCTGACTGGTTTTGACCACTGGAGGCAGGTGTAGGGAGAAACCCTCCAACATAGGATGCAGCGTGATGGGCAGTGGGAGCTGGAAGTGCGGGGCAGAAAGGATGTTGAGGAGATTATTACTATGTTCACGATGTACATTTTGCTATGAATTGCTTGTTTATAACTGTCCTTTAAAAAGCTTTAATTCTGATAGGTTTGTAAGAACTTCTATACATAATGAATATATCCCTGTTGTACAAGTTGTGAATATACTTCCTAGTCTATTGCTTATGTTTTAACTACATGTCATGATGATTTTCATGCAACAAAAGTTGCTGAATTCTGTGTGTCAAATTTATCATCCCTTGATCAACTCCTTTAATCCAAGAAGGAACTGAAATGTCTGGGTGTGGGGACGGAAATGATATTAGTAGGGGGTATCAGTATTCTCCAAAACTTTGAAGGTAATGTCATCTCTGAGAATTAGAACTACTCCCAACAAATGGAATTAACATTCTGATAACAAGAAACAAGAGGTTCTAAAAATGTAACATGAAGACTTTACAGAAATGGAGAATTTTTTTCTTTTTCTTTTCTTTTTTTCTTTCTATTTTTTAGGAAAGGGTCTACAGGGTGTTCAGAGTCTCACTACTAGATCAGACTCATAGTGATCCGCTTGTTTACAACCTCCCAAGAGCTGGGATTACAGGTGCACGCTACCACACCCAGTCTCAATTGTCATCTCAGCGTGCCCTGGGAGCAGGGCGGGCAGGTAGGCCTGGGGATTGCACTCCTGGCCCCTGTGCCTGCTTGCAGGCACTTTAATCCACTGAGCTATTTTCTCAGTCTTCATGACCTTGTTAAAAATGACAGGCTTGGGCTGGTAATATAGCTCAGTGACAAGAGTGCATGCCTAGCTTGTGGAAGGCTTGGGTTCAGTTACCCACACTGGAAAAGGGAAGGGAAAGGGGAAAGTGGAAGGGAACAGAAGGAAGGGAACAGGGAAGAGAAAAAAGAAAAGAGGAGAAGAGGAGAGGAGAAGGGAGGAGAGGAAAGGAGAAGAGAAGAGAAGAATGATCTTTACTTTCTTGGGAAACTTCGGGTCTTGAGGAGCACTGCCTCTTTTACACCCTCTTTGGAGATACCTCTTATGCCCATCATTAAATTGTATGAGGTGTCCTGGTTTGGAATCTTAATAAATATAGGTGCATCTTTTCATATTTGAACTTTTGTATCTAAAATTATTTTTGTTAGAGAGTTCTCATCCTAAATAACTATCCTACTGGTATCCATGGGAGGGTTTGACTTAAAAGGACAGAGTAAGAAAGCAAATGCTTGCTTTTAGAAGCATTTTCTCAAGAGAAAGAGCTCTTCCTCCACTGCTCCTCCCCAGCTGACCTGCATCTTTTTCTCATCCCAGCCACAGCCTTGAGCACGCCGCAATATAACTGTCCAGGTTCCCCATGGAAACAAGCAATTCACTGGGAAAGAAATTAAAATGTCTTTTAAACATTTGAAAAGTCGATCAATTCACTTATAATTAATGAAATTCAAGAAAAGAATGCCAGGTGAGAAATGCAGAAGAAAGAACAAACTTAGAAAACCATCAACCCCCCAATCATGACCCAGTCAAGGTTATCAATGGTTAAGGGTCTGGACATCTAAAGGTGCTAGCCAGAGAGGAGCACTAGCCATTTACCAGGGAGAGATACATTACCACCTTAACTCCACACTCAAACTTAGTATTATCAATAGTGTGACATTAAGATACTCTGCGTGATAGGAAGTAACTTCAACCACGCAGCACCACCAGGAGGTAGCCGTTAAATTCTTTCCCCCATAATGTTTAACCTATCCTTGTTTATGAGACACAATAGGAGGGCCAGTGAGAAAGCTCAGAGGACTAAGTGCCTGCTTAGGCAAGTGCAGGGACCCAACTTCAATCCCCAGCACCACATGCCACAACAGCCCATCCCCGGGATCGCTGAGGTAGCCACTAAGACTGGGTACGGTGGCACACACCTATAATCCCACTGCTGGGGAGGCTGAAAACAGGAGGATCACTATGAGTCTGAGCTGCATAGTGAAACCCTGCACCAAATATATTTTTTAAAAAAAGACATAATAAGAATGGATGCTTGGGTGTAGCTCATGGAGGAAAAAGAGAAGGAGAACCATTCTGAATTTTAAAAACCACTTAAGAGATGTAACAAAAAAAAAATTGTGTAATCCTTGATTGACTCCTGGTCAAAATCACTGAACCAAATGCATTTCTTAACGCTATTTATTTTAGATAATACTGGAGACTGTACTTAGAACCTTTGCACTGAATTACACCAGACTGTTTTACTTTCATTTTTTTAGCCTTTTGTTTTGAGGAAGTCTCACTAAGTTACACAGGCTGTGTTAGAGCTTCTGATTTTTCATATCTCAGCCTTCCAGAGTGCCGGCATTACAGGTGTGCACACCACCCCTGGTGCTATTGTTTTATTTTAAAATATTTTATATAGGAAAATAACCTGTGTTAGATATAAACTTTGCTAATACTTTATGACATATCTAATAGTGAAATATTTAGCTTGAGAAATAGTGTAATGGCTGTAATTTATTTCAAAATGTTCCACTTCCCCAATTAAACACATATGGCAAAGTTTAATGATTATGTGTAAGTGCTGGATAAATGAGTCCTGATTCTATACTTTCTTAGCTTTGTTCTATGTTTGAGAGATGAAGAAAAGCAGAGATGCCATTTTTCACCCATAAATACACAAAGAAAAACTGTTGAAAATGTTGCTGGGTCGGGCTGGGACTGTACTTCAGCGTGAGGCTTGCCTAGTGTGGTAGAGGCCCTGGGTTAGATCATCAGCACTACAAAAGACAAAAATGAACCCAAAATCATTAAAACTATGCTGTGTTGGCACACGCCATGTGAAGAAATGGCCATTTTCCTAGATTCTTGGTAGGAGCATTGGCTGGGACCTTGGAAAGAGATATGTTCTTTGACTCAGAATTTAACGTGCAGATTGTACTCAGATGTGTTAAAATATAGGAATAAGTCACCACAGCTTTATTTTCATAACAAAAAAATTAGAAACAGTATGTTTGTCAGTAGGAGTTGTTGTGTTAATTTTTATGGTTTGTCCATATAGCAGCAACATAAGAAAGTGTGGGGTAGATCTTTTGTGTTGTCAAGAAATCCTGAGATGTATGGCTAAGTGAGCAACACAAAGGACAGGTAGTGCTTATCTCTGGACCTCTGGGGCATAGCAGCTCAATGCCTAGCCACACTGGTCCATAGTTAACATTAGTCAAGAGACTGGATGCACGTATGAATGTGACTGCCATGAGTCAGGCTCTCTGGAACTCAGATTCAAAATAAAGAAAGGGGCCAGATTTTGCACCTTTTTCACAATGTCTAAGGTTTCCCTGAAATCATATCTTTGTATTTTTCCCTCAAGAGATACCATGTCTCTGTAACTTATTGAGCAAGATACCCTGAAGAAAAAGAAGGGAAAAAAAATCATAAAAGAGTGACAAAGACAAATTACTGAACTAGTGTAAGAACTGGAGCTTAATAGAAAATGTAGCTCCAAGCTTCCTGGCAGCCATGGCAAAAAGGGAAACCCCCGACTCACAGAACTTTTGTTACCTAGCAGAAGGAAGTACGCTAATTTCGTACAGGCCCTGCTTACAGCCTGGGAGATGTGCCGAGATGTCACTGCATTAGGACATATGGTCAACAATGGACCACATGTGGTGTTCCCATAAATTATTACAACGATGTTATAGTCGCATTGGTTTGTGAGTGCACTCTGACAGAACGGCACAATGACAGCATGGCCTAATGGTGCATTCCTCAGAACTTACCCCTCTGCACCTACTGCCTCAAGAACTATGCTTGTTCAACGGTAGATTAAAACATGGTGATTTGGTAAGGGAAGTTTAGGCATGCTAAGGATCTTCAGATGAAATTCCCAGGAATTTTTTTTTGGGGGGTCACCCGAGGCAAAGACACTATAAGCTGTCTTTGGACTTCTCTAATTGGGTCTCAGTCTCCCGAGTACAGGTGTGACTTAGACAGACACGTCTCTGGGTTTCATGGTCCCTGTGGGGAAAAGCGCTTATTGTACAGACACAATGAGATGATGCGTGTAGATTGCTCCAGAAAAGAATACTTTTGCTGTGTCGCTGTTTACATTATCATAATGTCAAGACCTCTGGCTACAAAAAAACAGACTCTGGAGCCAGATTGCCAAGGCTTGCATCTCAGTTCCACCATTTAGTGGCTGGGTGACCTTGGTAAGGTCACTTAGTCTCTGTGCCTTAGTTTCCTCCTCGGTAAAATATAGGTTCGATGGTTGAGAGTTGCAGAGCCCACAGAGCAGGACCCCGGGCACATTGTAGGTGCCTTGTGCTTGTTAAATTAAGCATTGAATGTTTCCTTCTAACCTTTGAGGACCTCCAGAACAAAAGAAAATGATAGCCTCAAAGAAGCCCAGCTATCTCCGACACTAATTTTTGAAAGGACTGGAGCTCTGTATTGTCAGTTATCTAAGGAGGAGTTTCCTTAGAGGACGGAGAGACGCCCTGTGTTTGTAATGGTGGAGTCCGCGGCAGGTGACCACGGCAGGCGCTCTGGGAGGCGCGGCCGGCTCCCGGCTCCTCGCACCTCCGGGTGCCCGCAGCGAGGTCCGGCGGCGCAGGCGGAGTGGGAGGAGCACGGAGCTCCCGGGATCCCCCTCGCCCCCTCCCCCACCGCCCAGTGAGTAATGACATTCGCGGGGAAGGGGGGAGGGAAAGAGAGGGACAGGCTCGGCGAGGCCATGTGATGCTGGGCGAGAGAGCCGCCGCCGCCGCCGGAGCCGCCTTCTTCCTCCTCGGATCGCGGCCGCCATGGCGACCCCCAACAACCTGACCCCCACCAATTGCAGCTGGTGGCCCATCTCGGCACTGGAGAGTGATGCGGCCAAGCCGGCCGAGGCCCCCGACGCGCCGGAGGCGGCCAGCCCCGCCCATTGGCCCAAGGAGAGCCTGGTTCTGTACCACTGGACCCAGTCCTTCAGCTCGCAGAAGGTAGAGCCGCGCGGGGCGCCGAGACCGGGGGTCCCAGGGACCCGGGACCTGCGTCCCAGGCAGGGGTTGGGATGGCCCTGCTTGGGCCCCAGAGCGGAGCTCCCGGTTCCATTCCTCCCCTTTCCCTCCCAGGAAGCCCCGGTGCGTGGGGGGCTTGGAGGAGAGACAAAGGCAAGGGGAAGGGAAGGGACGCAGCCGGGAAGGCACGGCATGGGGCGGGGGCGCCGGCGCCGGCGGGAGAAGCGCTCCCAAGGGTCCGACTTGCAGCCTTGCCTTCTGCTGCTGTCCGGGACACGCAGCCTCCCGGGGCACAGCTCCATGCCCCTCTGTCCTGGCTGAGCCCTTCTCTGGCTGGGGCTGGTAATGTCAGTCCCCAACGTGCCCCCTCCCCATTATCAGGAGGAGCGAAGGAAAGAACACATCGCCTCAGGCCATCCCCACCAGAACATCAGATCTGCTGTGTTTTGCGCTGAAAGCCTGCTGCGGCCCCTGAAACCCTCCAGGCCGAGGGGAGTGGGGGCGGGGTGGAGGGGAGTTGGAAATCAGCCTGGTGCTGAGTTATCAGGGTTCCGCTTCCTGCGAGTGGGGCCAGGACCCGACTGCCTGTAAGACCCAGCTCCTCTAGGGAGGTCTCCCTCCCAGTCCTTTCTCCGGTGCATGAGTTCAGCACCATGGCCAGAGCCCAGAAGGGGTTGTGCTGGGGCCTAAGCCGCACCTGACCCCTGACTTCTCTCCTTGGTAGAGCCTTTGTTCCATTCGCTTGTTTTCCAGATGGAAAGACAGGTTCCACGCATGGAAAGGCTTTGGAACCTCAAGACTTGGTTTTGAGTATTGGTCGAGGCCGTCTTGTCATGTGGAAAATATGATAATGCTAGTGATAGTAGCCACCTGGAATTCTAGTCCCCTCACTAGGGCTGCAAATGAGGAAGGGACGGCAGAACTTGGTGAGCATACACTAGAATTTCCTGGCTCCCAGTTAAGACGACGCCTGCTGGATTTGGCCCCAGAGATTCTACCTCTGTGGCCTGGTCCAGGCACTGGCTCTCCAGCAGGCCACTGGCCACCTTCAAATAGCCCAGTTTAGGGAGCAATCTTCCCCCTCACTCACTGTGGAGCTGCTGACATGTCCCTTTGCCTCTGCAGACTCTCAGTGGTAAAATCTGTGCAATGGGGCCAGTGCGGTCACTTCCTCAGAAGGCCACTGTGGAGGTGGAATAACATGTTACCCAAAAAGCGTTCTGCTGCTGCTGCCTTGATAAGGCCACAGCTCTGTTAATAATGATGTTATGATGCCATTAAAGTACTAGTAGTGGGGTGGAGTGCCACGCAGCATGGAGCTGATGGTTAGCATGTGCAAGACCCTGAATTCAATCCCCAGTGCATGCACAGACACACAATGCTAAGTGACAAAGAGCCAGTGTCACCCAAGGTCATCTTGCGACTCATCCATAATTCTGCACATACTTGCTGACCTCCAACTGCATGCCAGGCCCTGTGTAAGACACTGAGCGTTTCCACATGAATCAGATCCCAGAACCTCCTTCTATCCAGACATTCAAGAATTGGGCCCCAGTGGCTGGGCCTGGACACAGAAGTGCAGGAGGAAGGCATCTGCCATCCCCATCCCCATCGGGAGCCTCCTGCTCTTACCTCATAGAACATTTCCTCTTCAGTCTGAGCTCAGGGCTTGGGTGGCCCTAGAGTCAGAGAAGGAACCACCCACTGCACCCCTACACTTGACTGCATCTTCACGAAGCTCCCACTGTAACCTACTTTTGACTATATCTCCACCAAGCTAGCCTGAGCATCCTCCTAGCTCCCCTGTCTGGGTTTTCTTCTACTTGGCCCTCCCCTGCTTGGAGCCCATGGTGGATTTCAGGGGCAGTGCTGCCTGGCAAAGAGGGCATAGGCTCAGCCCTCACATGGGCCTGGGTTCCAGTCTTATTTTTGCTGCTTACTGGGTAAGTGAGCTAGGCTAAGTCACTTCATCTATCTGAGCTTCATCATCTTATCTGAAAAGGGGGGCTTTGCATGCTTCCCTGATTAATTCCTGGGGACTTTAGAGGACACAGGCCTATGTTCAGTGCCTGGCATGCAGTAGAAACTTAGCAGGCCTGGTCCTCGCCTTCCCTCCACCTTGCAGGCCCTGCTTGCACACACACAGGCTCCTTACTGAGATGCTTGTCCTTAATGGCACATGAGCTATTAATAGCAATAAGTAGCTCACCTGCAGGTGAGATGGCAGTTCATTAGGCACCGGGGGCCATGCCAGACTCAGAGGGTAGCAGGACAGTGCAGGGGTCAGAGCCCCATCTCTGGGGACAGATAGGCTAGGTTTCAAGCTTAGCTCTGCCATTGACTAGTTGGGTCCTCCTCCACAAGTAGCTTAAATTCCCCTGTCTCCATTACCCAGTCTGTCATGGAGAACCATGTGGTACCTCTGCACAGAGACTCTACAGAAGGACACCTGCAGACCACCTGGAGTAGCACCCAGTGCACAAGATGTGCTCAGCAAGTGCTGGTGCAGCTATAAGACACAGGCTGAGGGGCCAGCCAGATCCGAGGCTCAGGCCCACCCTGCTGCCTCTCTAGGTCTCACTTTTCCCTGCTGGTAAGGTTAGGGCCTTTCTGACCAGAGGTTTGGATCAAATAATATCACACACAATCACATGCCAACCACCACAATTTACACAGCAGCATCTGAGCAGCACCATCAAGTGACAGTTTGGGGTCACTGGGTTTGCAGGAGGCTCCTGGGTGTCAACCTGAGTGTGCTTCTTGCCTCAGCCTTGTCTGCCTCTGGGGGTAGCCCTGAGGTTGAGAGGGACAAAGACAGGGAGCCAAGCAGACAAAGCTGTAGTACTGGCAACCTCCCTAACTAGCTGTGCAATCTGACCCACTTTGCTCTTCCATTTGCTCAGTGGGAAAATGCCCTAGAAGCCAGGCATGGTGGTGCATGCCAGAAATCCCAGTATTTTTGGAGGCTGAGGCAGGAAGATGGCAAGTTCAAGCCCAGCCTGGGCAAATTAGCCAGGCCTCTCTTAGTATAAACAATAAAATAATTAAAGAGCTGAGGATGCAGTTCAGTATGAATGGCCTGATTCAGTCCCTAGTACTGTTAAATTAGTTAATTAGTTAATTAGGTAATTAATTATACACATTAAAAGTGTACTGGATTTGTGATACAACTTGCCTGGCTGCTTCCCTCTCCAGGCAGGAAAATGGCCCTTCCTGTCTGTATCCACTGCCTTTTGTACACCCCTCTGTTTTCATACTTGCCAGCTTTTTAGAAACTGAGATTGCTATTTGCTAGCTGTGTGAAATATATATATATATATTTGGTACAGGGTCTCACTACCCAGCTTGGACTTATAGTGATCCTCCCGTTTTCAGCTTCCCCAGGGCTGGGAATACAGGTGTGCACCACCACACCCTGTCTCAGTGGCCAGCTCAGCATGCCCAAGGGTGTGGCCGGCACGGCATGTGGTGCCAGGGATCGAACTTGAGTCCCTGCGCTTGCCTAAGCAGCTGCTTAGTCCTCTGAGCTATCTTGCTGGCTCTGCTGTGTGACTCTGGGCAGGTAACTTACTATCTCTGCCTGTGTCCTCTTTTGTAAAATGAGGAGATGCTAGGGGCCCACATTACTTGGGGTTTGTAGGGACTAAGCGAGTTAGTACATGTGAAGCTCTCGGACAGTGTGCGGTGCAGCAGGAGTGCTCCATGAACCCTAGCTCTTAGTGCGCTGTGATCTCTACCAGGAAGCGCCCTTCATGGCATCCCTAGCTCCCTGCAACAAGCCCGGCTCAAAGTCCCTTGACCCCACTCTGCCCATCCTGCCACCGTCAGAGATGGGCCACTGGGGCCCTTCATCCAGCCTTTAGCCCTCAGAGGAAAGAGGCCCATGTCTGGTCATACTTAGAGCCAGTCCTGACCCCCAGACTTACAGGGGAAAAGCAAGTGGTAGAGGCTGACCTCACCTCCCACCCTGGCCTTGTCTGCCACAGCGCTTGGCCATGGCCCCCAGCATTGTCCCTGCTACATTTGGCCATTTTTCACTCCTGTCCCCTCACCCACAGGACAGAACTTTTGGGGCAACACCACCCACTACTATCCTTTTCTGGAGCTTACAGTGGCTCCCTGGTCCCTTCAGGAAGCAGCCAGGGTCCCACAGTGACTTCTGGCCTTACTGCAGGTTCCTACCCTGGCTGGGATTATGAATTTATGGACTCTTTTCAGAGTGTTTCCAACTAAGGTATAATGTGTAAGATTGTGAGAGAAAAAAAGGAAACCAATTATACTGAAGTACCACTATTGAAATATTTTAAAGACAAATGTGTTACATAATGATGTGTATGTTTCTGCATTAACCCATTATATAAGGCAAGCTAGTGGCAGGTCTGGCCACTGCTGTCATGCAGAAGTCGAGATGAGTGTACATATTTGGAGGTAACTGCAGCAGCTGTGAAGCAGGGCTAACACCGCCCTACTTTGTCGCCCACGTCTGCAGCAGAAGAGCACGCCTATGTCGGTTTCTACTGCTGAGAGTGGACATGCCACCTTCCAGCCCAGTCCACAGACCACCTGAGTTCATTCATGAGACCCTCAGTCTGGTTGAGTCTTGATTAAAGCCCTTGTGCGTGATCATTTCTCTTTCATTCCTGCAGTACTAGGGATCAAACCCAGCAGAGCCCTACTACTGAGCCCCAGCCCCCGCCCTCTTTAGAGACAGGGTCCACCTTAGTTGCTCAGGCTGGCTTTAAACTTGTGGTCCTCTGCCCCAGGAGCTGGGGTTACAGCCTTCGCCACCACAGCCAACTCATGGCCCTTTGAGCTGTCTCCTCCCATCTCGATGGCCTGCCCTCTCCTCTCCCTGACACTCTAATGCCCTGATGCCCTACCCTGCTCCACTGTTTTAACTGCTCATCGCCTGTCAGTCAGTCCCCTTGGGCACCAGTTTCCTTGGGTGGCGATCTGAATTTCTTTCACTGCAGTCTCCAGTTCTTGGAACGGGACCTGGCACATAGTCAGCACCCAGTGAATAAGTATTAAAAGTGATGCATTTGTAAGCCATGAGGTGTTACATAAAGAAGTTATTTGAGGGGTGAGGATATAGTTCAGTTGTAGAAAGCTTGTCCAGTATGCCTAAGGCCCTGGGTTCTATGCTTAGAACTGAAAGAGGGGGTTGCTTGATTCTGTAAACCTAAAGCTACTCTAAAAAAAAGTTCTTAATTTTTTGGGAGGGAAAAGTTATTTGTGATAAATAAACTAAGGCTCAGAGTGCCTTTTATGAAATCACACAGCAACTAAGTATGTGGGCAGAGATGCCAAGCCAGGGCTCACGTAAACATGGGCTTGGCTGGGGAGGAACAGCACCCCTGCCGCAGGGCTTCATTGACAGCTGGTTTCCAGTCACCCACAGGGAAGGTGGTTTCCTCAGGGATGGTCAAGCCTGGTCGCTTTCGGTGTCGACCACCTAAGTCTGCCTCTGGAGGCAGAGATGACAGATGGCTTTGGTGGCAGCATGCCCTTCCCTTGGACTTGGCTTCCTCTCTGGGTTCTCCTCCCCCACAGGATGGCACATGGCCCTGGTCTGCAGCTCGGCTAGAGGTGACTGTCTCCTTGGCCACCTGCCAGGGTGACCCTGTGGCTGCTCCAAGCACAGGGCTGCTGTGCTTCTGAGGACAGTTCCCTCCACAGGCGGTGGCCACAGCTAACCCCTCCCAGGAGCCCAGGGCCCTTCCAGGACAGGAGGTCAACTGTGTGACCTGCCAAGGACAGAGACCCACCTGGGTCTTCTCTGTACCCAGAGATCTCTGCATGGCCAGGTGGCTCAAGGACCCGCTGAGCCTGACTGCTGAGGCTGCAGGACCCCAGGCTGGGTGTCCACAAGGAGCTCAGAGGGTGGCTCCAGCCCTGCGCTCTGGGGCTCCTGCAGGGCACGCTCCACTGAGAGCCAGACACTCTTGCTCACACACATGCGCACTCACACCCTCACCCATGTACACCCACACCCATCGCACCCAGATCCAACAGACGCTGCTCCCAGGCTGTTCTCTGTGTAGCAGCCTGTCCCTGTCCTTGTCCCTTCCCCTGGCCCTGTCCCTCAAGGTCTCACAGCACGGCTGCAGAGCACTCTGAGGGTGGCCCAAATCCTCCTTTTGCTGATGAGGAAAAGGAGGCTCAGAGTGGGGCAGTGACAGCTCTGAGGTCACACAAGTTTGCCTTGGCTAAGCCAAGGTGTGGAGTTGGGGCTCTGCCCACCTCACCTGTGGGACTCTGGCAAATGCAGCCAATGAGGCTGTGAGTGTTGTGTTCAGGTATAAATGACCTCTCCCTCTCTACTGTCTGATAAATCAAAGGGTCACTGTGATGTATTAGCATTAACCAGGATGTGTGTGTGTGTGTGTGTGTGTGTGTGTGTGTGTGTGTGCATACACACATGCGCATGTGTGTAAGAATTGTGTCATTAGATGCTAGGACCTGTGTACTAACTCCTGAGCTGTGATTCCATCCACAACTCTTATCTCAGCCTCCACTGGTCTTGAGAACTTGCCTTCCTCACTTCACGGCAGCCACACATCAGAAAGGTCAGGCGTCTCGCCCAGGGTCACACAGCAAATAGGAAGTTGGAAGCAGAGCCAGCCTTCCATTCCAGGTCTGTCAGCCTCCAAACTCTAGTCTAATACACACAGCTAAGACACAACCCCTACTGTGTGCTGGACACCACCCCACAAGGATTAACGCAACTAATCCTCACCCTGCCCTCTGAGGGAGCGGCTGAGGGGTGGCCTACAGCAGGAGGCACAAGGAGGGAAAGCAGCTTGCAAAGTGGAGCCATCCAGCAAGGAAGAGGTACAGCTCGAGCAGCACCACCACAGTTCTGCCCCAGCCCCATGCCACCGCTCTGGGTATCTGACTCCGGTTACCGGGAGGAGAGGCTGCCTGGCCTTAGGATCCCCACTTAGGTTCACATGCTCAGAGGCCTAGCAGCACTAGGAACTGTTGCTTGCAGTTTTAAATTTGCTGCCAGACTGCTGTGCGACTTTAGGCTTTAGTTTTCTCAGGGAAAATAGGGATATCTTCCCTGTTCTGCCCTCCCACGGTGGGTGGGGCTATTATGAGCGTCCAATCAGCAATCAGGTGGGAAGGCGTTCGGAGGCACGATGGGCTCTCACATGTTCTTTTTCACTTTGCTTGTAAATATGAGAAATGTAGCTATTGATTCTGATGGTGATTAGAATTTCTGTGAATTTTCCTGGACCTACCCACCCTTGGAGGTCAGGAATCCGTCCGGAAGGGTCCATTGTAAAGCCGGCTGCGAACCCGCCAGGCAGCACCGCCATTGGAGCAGCGCAGGGCCGAGCTCTTCCTGTCCCTCCCTCCCCCAAGGTGCTCCACAGTGGGCTGAAAGCAATCATGTCCCCTCCCATGTGTGACCTCTGACCTCCCTCCCCTCACGTCCCACCCCCTTGGCAGAGGGTCCTTTGTCCGCCCGCCTTCCCCGCTCTGACCCTGGCGCCTGCAGGTGCGGCTGGTGATCGCGGAGAAGGGGCTGGCGTGTGAGGAGCGGGACGTGAGCCTACCGCAGAGCGAGCACAAGGAGCCCTGGTTCATGAGGCTCAACCTGGGCGAGGAGGTGCCCGTCATCATCCACCGTGACAACATCATCAGCGACTACGACCAGATCATCGACTACGTGGAGCGGACCTTCACGGGAGGTACGGCGCTCCCAGCATTCGGGCACAGGTTAGACAGGGTCCCAGAACACCCACTGGGGCCATGGTCAAGGACCAGTCTCCCCAAAAAGAGCCACGGGACACACGAAGGGCTCCCTGCTCCCTCCCCCCCACCCCAGGAACCACAGAGCTAGGGGCACGGCCAGACTTGGCCCAGAAACCTCCTCCCTGGCACCCTGGTGCGCCAGCCCCCTCCTCAGGATCTCTGCCCTCTCAGGCACAGCTGGACACCCACAGGCAGCATCCAGCTCCCCCAGGGAGTTCAGGGCTTAAGCAGAGCCCAGGCCCCTGAAACCCTTGAGCATAGTCAGAGCCAGGATCTTCCTGGGATCTCACAGATAGGGTCCCGGACACCTCAGAACCCACAGACACAGGCAGGACTCTGACACCCAAAACTTTCAGGGCCTGTTGTCCTCATTCTCCTTTTGGTTGACAGATGCAGTGTGAAAGAAGGAAGGAGCTCACCAGCGCTCTCTAGGCGCTGCATCCAACCCTACCACTGCAAAGGGAAAAAAATAACAGGAATTTATCAATGATTCCAAATCAAAGAGTCGAGGCTTCTAGTCTCTTGAGATCAAGTGACACTGGTCACAGACCCTACTTGGTCTTTGACAGAGATGAGAGAAGCCAGCCCTGGAGGATAGGTGGGCATAGCACAGTGAGGAGAGGCATCCTGGGTGCCCCCGGGGCCTCACTCAGCAGTGGCTGAGTCCTGGGAAGTGGGTGGGTCTGGGGCCTCTGGGAAGGGTGCTTTGGGGTCCGGTGCTAGCCCTGGTGCTGCTCTGCAGAGCACGTGGTGGCCCTGATGCCCGAGGCAGGCAGCCCACAGCACGCGCGGGTGCTGCAGTACCGGGAGCTGCTGGACGCGCTGCCCATGGATGCCTACACACATGGCTGCATCCTGCACCCTGAGCTCACCACTGACTCCATGATCCCCAAGTACGCCACGGCCGAGATCCGCAGTGAGTGCCGGGGCGGGCAGAGCCTCGCTCTGTGGACTGAGTCTCCTCTCTGCACCCTGCCCTCCCATGCCAGGGCCGCCTCCTTGTTCTCTCTCTCTCCCTCTCCCTGGTCTTTATTCTACCCCTCGCTTTGTGCCCGGGGTCTCTGTTTTTCTCTCTTCCATTCCCTATCCATCTTGCTCATCCTGTTGCTTACCGAACTTGCCTCTCCCTCTCCGGCAGTCTCTCATCCCCCACCCTGAGACCCTATGCTTGTCCTGTCACCCTACAGAGGCTATTGCTTTCAGCTCTCCAGAAGTTTTTGTTGTCTGGAGGATCTGGGGACCTCTCAAAGTAATCCCATCTTGGGGCCAGCCAAATAGCTCAGCGGATTAAAGCACCTGCTTGGGGGCTTGGGGTTCGATCCCCGGGCCTGCTGTGCTGCCCCCTCCCCTGGGGTGCACTGAGATTGAGACTGGGCATGGTTGGTATGTGCCTGTAATCCCAGCTCTTGGGAGGCTGTAAACAGGAGAACTGGGGCTGGGGAGATGGCTCAATAGAATAAGTGCTTGCCTGGCAAGCACAAGGACCTGAGTTGAATACCTGGTTCCACGACCCCCACCCCCAGAAAAAAACCCAAACAAACAGGAGAATCACTATGAGTCCAATCTGGTAGTGAGACACTAAACACCTTGTATACCCTTCCCTAAAATACAAAACAAACAAACAAAAACCAAAGTAATCCCATCTCTAAGTAGGCTGAGGCAAGAGGATTCCAAGTGTAAGGCTAGCCTTGGCTACATAGTGAGTTCAAGGCCAGCCTGAACTATGTAGCAAGATTTTGTCCCAAGAAACCAAAAATGTTTTTCTCATCTAGTCCAACCAGTGTGATGAGGGCAACATGGAGGGTGGGAAGCACTGAAGATGTCCATCCCAGCCCCTGGGGTCATGGTGACATCCAAGGATGAGGGGGAACCATGCCATGTTCTGGGCTGGGACAGGCATGGTGGGCAGGAGCTGAAGGACATGACCATGGTGGCAGTGTAGCTCAAGGGTGTGGCAGGGCTCCTGTATGACACAGGTAAGCAGGTCTGGCAGAAGAGGCATTTCATGCAGACCACAGTGGAGAAAGTATGCCGGGCAATGGCAGGGGCAGCTCTGTGTCTTAGGAAGATAACTCCTCTCGGGGGAGGCAGATGCCCCAGTTGTGACCTAGATGGGCAGCAATGGTGGCCTGGCCTTGGGGGAGTAGTCTCAAGGGCTTTTGGGATAAGGTGCTTCCCTTGACCCATCCTGAGCCATCTGAAGGGACTCAGAAGGTAGAAGGGTCAAAAGCACACTCCTTCCTTTGAGGGAGAATCTCAGATTCCAGCCCAGATGGGAAGGGAGACTTCACAGGGAACAGAGGAGGCAGAAGCCCCTCAGTCCAACCCCCCAGTTGGTCCAAGGTCTTCTCTTGGCCTGGACTACCCTTCTGAAGTCTACAGAGAGCCATGTGGGCAGCCCCTGGGGACAGGCAAAAGGGAAGACATACTTGACCTTCACATTCATAAAACATCAATGAGACTTAATATAGCCCCAGAGCTGGGAAAGGCGGAGCTGTTTACTGGGAAATGCATCGGGCTGGAGATGGGCTGGTGGGTGGTGGACCCCAGAGGGCAGGAACTAAAGGACCACAGCATCTCCCTCCCTCCCTCCTTCCATTCTTTCCCTCCATACTCACTGCACTCCTACTTGGTGCCAGGACTGGGTTGGCCTTTAAAGGGGACCCAGAAGAATCTGCTGTAGCCCTTCTCTGCAGAAGCTCACACACCAGAGGGAGAAACACATTCAGAGACAACTACATTAATATCAGTTTCCCTCTTCAGCAGGCGAGTACAGGCCATGCACTGCACAAGGGCAGGGCGACTGTTCTGTAGACCATGGGTGAATGAAATTGTGCCAAGGTAGCATAGCTAGTGTGTGTGTGCGTTCTTCTGCAGAAGTCTGTGAAGTACGCTGGGGACAACGGAACAGGAGGTCTGATCCTCTTCGGATCAGGGAGGTTTCATGGAGGAGGTGAAGGGTGAGAAGGTGAAGAGGGGAAATAAACAGACCCTGCAGGCCCCATGAAGGGACACTACCTGAGGGCAGGGAACAGCAGGCCTGGGATGTGTATGAGGAAGGTGTTGCCACGGAGCTGAGAGGACAGAGGTGACTGGGGGTCTACACTAAGTGAGAATCAGAGGGTTGGGTGAGAAGGCAAGGTAAGAAGAGATCGGAGAAGGGCTGAGGAGGGTGTTGGGCATCTGGGGCTGAGCTGAGGCCCCCTGGAGCTGAGAACATATCTGAGCCCGGCTTGGCCTTGTGGGGGGAGGGGAGCTGGGAAGAGGATGCAATCCTGGCTTATAGTTCTATTTCTGGCATCTCCATGCATCCGCAAGGGCAGAGGCTCCTCTGCACTGAGCTTTATTGGCCCCCTTGCACCCCAGGCAGCAACTGTCTGGTCCCACAGCTTTGTGTTCATCACCAAGGGTCACACAGCATCACAGAAACTCTGGAATGCATCTATGCCTCCCTCTAGCCTGAGCTTCAGCAGGCAGCCTCTCTTCCATCCTGTGTTACAGCCCACAGGACTCATTGTACGCTGGCTGTGGGTACTGTCCCTTCCTTGACCCGTGTTTGGATGGACTGACTCCCAGCCATGTGGGGGAGGGGATACGGAAGCACCAGGTATCAGAGATGGAACCTTTTCTATTCTTTGCCCAGGACACTTAGCCAATGCCACCACAGACCTCATGAAACTGGACCATGAAGAGGAGCCACAGCTGTCTGAGCCCTACCTTTCTAAACAAAAGAAGCTCATGGTGAGTGTCCCCACCTGCTGGACCTCTTTCTCACCTTCCTCTCCACAGAAAGGAAAGATGGAAGGAAGCTGGTGACATTGAGAATCAGCTAAAGGTTTGAGGTGGAAAACCACAGGCTTGCTTTTTCTCCTCTGTCATTTGCTGTCGCTCTGACCTTGGGCAAGCCACTGTCACTTTGAGCCCTTATGTCTTAGGCTGTGTCTCTGTAAGTGAGCATTAGACACAGGTACCAGGATAAGGAGATATCGAGTAGCCCAGTAAGGACCAGAGGGATAGAGAAGAGGGAACAGCCACTCTTTGTAACCTCATGGGAAGCTCTGGAGCATAAAAGGATCACACAGTTCATCCACCCTGTGGCCAGTACTCAGCCACTAATACCCTGGTATTGGCTGGTATTGGCTGCAAACTGCCTGTCGGGTAGGGAGTTACCTCCCCCACGTTTCTGATCGAGGCAGCTCCGCATTGGCTTAGAACAACTCTCTAGAGAAGCGCAACCATGAGCTCCTGGCAGGGGTGCTACTAGCAACTGGAGGTGCGAGTGTGCCAGCCCCATGGCCGAGCTCTGAGCAGAATGACCAAGCTCATCAGACTGGTGTACGCACCAGAGAAAGCGCTTTTCATGTGGAGCCTAAGTTTGCAGAAAGGAGCTAGGGTAAGGTTCCCTTCCCTGGATAGCCTGACTTCAGTGAGGCCAATTCAGTTTTTGACCCCTGCCTTTCCTGCCACAGGCCAAGATCTTGGAGCACGACGATGTGAGCTACCTGAAGAAGATCCTTGGGGAGCTGGCCATGGTGCTGGACCAGATCGAGGCTGAACTGGAGAAAAGGAAACTCGAGAATGAGGGTGGGTGCCAGCCTGGGGTGGGTGGGGCTGTAGCCCTTGCCTACTCTATCCTGTCTGTGCAGGCCTAGCCTCTTTTCCCTCCAGAGAGTTCAGACCTATCACCTTTCTGGACTTTCCTTTCCTATATATAAAGTGAGGATAATAATAGGACACTTCTCAGAGCTGTGGAGGCACTGTATGACGTACACGCAGCATGCTTAAATCCCAGGGCTTAGTATGTAGCAAGAACTTAATAAAGGCTGGGGACAAGAATATAGCAGCGGAGGTTGTGACCACTTACCCACCACATCACCTCACCTTGCCCCATGCAAGAATGCATTATGCCTCCTGCAGCAGCCAGATATCAAATCTCATCCAGAATCTTCAGCATTGGCCCTTCCTGCTCTTGAGCAGCAGGTCCCTGATCAGACATAGCAGCCCCCCATCTGCCCCACACCTTGACTGCTGTCACCCCTTCAGCTCGAGTTCTTGTTCCATTCCATTCAGCTCCACTGGCCTGTGGCCAGCATCTTTGCATCAGCCCATATTCCCATCTCATTCAGAACATTTCAAGCTTGCTCTGTGTTCAAAGCCCCATTTTGATCCCAACATAGGAAATGTTTGGAGCATGTGCAGCATGCTTCCTGCACAGGTGCCCACATGCACGGGAGCTGCAGAACATGTCTGAAAACATGGGTCTAGATCAGACGCATGCCTGTGATCCCAGCTATTTCAGAATCATTAAGCCTTTCTGGAAAAAGCATGGTATGGCTGAGTATCTCGAGGAATCTTCTTGTTTCTATCAGAGGGTACCATTAAGAAGAGCTCTCAAGGAACAAAAGTGTGGGAGGCCAAGGCTGGGCTTGGCAAACAGAATCTCAGCTCTGTCCTTCTCTGGTTGGTCATCTTGAACTTGAGAATTACACCATTTCCTTATGTATAAGTTTGTCAGGGCTGACAAAACAAAACCCCACAGACAGGGTGGCTTAAACAGCAGAATCCTACTGCATTACAGTCCTGGAGGCTGGAAGCCCAAGTTCTAGGTGTCAGCAGGGCTAGTTTCATCAGAGGCCTCTCCCTGACTTGTCAATGGCATTTTGTCACTGTGTCCTCACATGTCCTGGTGTCTCTGGGTGTCCTGTGTCTTCTTAGGAGTACTCAGTCAGACTGAGTCAGAAGCCACACTGGCATCTTCATTGTTTTGTACCAAGAATTGAACTCAGCACTTTGCACTTGCCAGGCAGGTGCTTGTGCCACCGAACTATATCCTCAGCCCTTAGCGTCCTCAATTTGACTTAATCATCTCTTTAAAGGCTACATCTCCAAATACTGCCAAATTCTCTGATACTGAGTTAGGACTTCAACATATGAATTTGAAAGGGGACTAAATTTAGCTCCATCTACATTTGTATAAAAAATTTTGGCAACTTTATTGCTTTTATTGGTTTGTTTTTGTGATGGAGTCTTGATAAGTTTGCCGGGCTGGCCTTGAACTGGCAATTTTCTCATCTCAGCCTCCCAAGCAGCCAGGATTACAAGTGTACACCATCGTGCCCGACACAACTTGTATATTTAACAGCACTTACTGTGTGTCAGGCACGGTTCTGAGTTTCATATGTTTCAACTCCCTACAGTGCTAGGAGTTAGATACTATTAGTGGTCCCACTTAACTGATGAGGATGAGACTCAGAGAGGTCCAGTAGCTTTCCCAGAGTCACACAGGGAGAAGTGGTGGAGCTGGATTCAGATTCTAGCTCACAGAGTCCATGATCTTAGACACTTTCTGTACCTCTTCTGTCCTTAGAGGGCTGAGAATATGAGTGCCTGCCTTCTGGGGCTGTGGTGAGGATCAGCAAGGAAATGCTGGTCCTTCTACATTTCTTGAGTAGGCACAGCTTGTTGTCTGGCATGCAAGGGGCACTGTCTGCACACGTTAGTTGCTGCTGCAATCATGGGAGACACCGGGTCTGACTAGACAGGGCCAGAGTCGATGGTCCAGAGGAGAGCTTGGGACTTGCATTCCCAAAGGGTTCCGACATGGGCCCTGATCCCCTTTGTGTTGGTCCTGAGGTCTTCTGAGATGAGGCAGCATTGCACTGCCCCATGGTGTGATGACTGGAGCTGTCATGAGGCAGAAATGTGGTTGGTCCTTGTGTCCTTGGGAAGTGAGAAGGCATCAGAGCCCAAGGAAGAGGCTGTGGGCCTCAAAGCTCTGACTGACTGGGCCCATATGGCCCCTTTTTTGTGGGCCAGAAAAGGTTGAGGAACTCTTTTTTTTTTTTGCAGTACCAGGGATTGAACTCTGGACCCTGCGCTTGCCAGACAAGTACTTATTCTACTGAGCTATCTCCCCAACCCAAGTTGAGGAACTCTTGTGATGTCACAGTTAAGGCTCCAAGCATGGGGCAGATGCTATTCATGCATATTCTACTCAGCCACCTCCTAGCTCTGTGGCCTTGTAGAATTTACTTCACCCCTCTGAGGTCATCTGCAAAATGGGAATAATAACAGACTAATTCACAGCAGGGGTGTGAGGACCTACGAAGACCATGAGCACTGGGAGCTTTGCATAATGCCTGACTCCAGACAAAATGTTCTGGAAATAGAAAGCTTTTTAAAAAAACTTTTGGTATTTTTCATTCTTATTCAAGTACTTGTGGAACATCTATGTGACAAGTCCTAGGAGTAAAATTGTGAGCAAAAATAGGATACTGGTTTTTTGTTTTTTGTTTGTTTTTTTTTTTGTGGAACCGGGGATTGAACTCAGGCTCTTGAGCTTGCCAGGCAAGTGCTTATTCTACTGAGCCATCTCCCTGGTCCCAATACTGTTCTTCTTGAGGAATTTGTGGTCTTGGGGAAGAAAAAGACATTAATCAAATGATCCCATTAGTAAACGCAAAATTACAAACAGTGACACTGAGTGTTAAGATCGAAACTCTGAGGACTGATTTAGAGATAACAATACACAATGTATTAACCACTGTTGCCCTCCTATTATTATTATTTTTTTTTTTTTATTGTACCAGGGATCAAACTCAGGACTTATTCCACTGAGCTATCTCTCCAGCCCCCTCATATTATTTTGTTTTGAAATTTTGTTTGTGTTTTACTCTTTAAAAAAAAAAAAGGTCAAGAGTAAAATAGGGGGTCTGGTGAGATGGCTCAGTGGTCTAAAGCACCTATTTGGAAAAAGCTTAGCAAAGCACAGGGACCGCGGTTCAATCCCCCAGCACCACATGCCAGCCAGCCCCGCCCCCTAATGGGCTGAGCTGCCCCCCCCCACACACACACATGCATAAATAAAATTTTAAAAAAAAAAGAGTAAAATAGGCAGGAGTCAGGAATGCAGCTCACAGATGGAGCGCTTGCCTAGTATGAAGTAGCACCCTGTCCCCACTACACTGAAAGAGAGAGAGAGTCAGACAGACAGACAGACAGACAGACAGACAGACAGACATGGGCACAACAATTACATAATGCTTCTCTGACAAGGTGACATTCCAAGTGAGACTGGAAGGATGAGGAGGAGCCTAGGCAGTGAGCTACTACCCCAACTGAAAGGATGTGTGGAGGTGGAAGAGATCGAGGGTCTCTCAGCTGCTGGGCAGTGCATGCTGAAGGGAAGGCTGGGAGTGAGAGCAGAGACAGTGAGTGAGGCCCAGGTGAAATCACAGGCTGAGCCTGTACTGTAAGGACTATGTTTCTACTGGGGGCAGTACGAGGCCCTTGGAGGCTTGGAGAAGGGGATTATGTCTGTTAGCTTTGCAGTACAATAGACCATTCCAAGTCTGAGTGATTTAAAAGAATCATTTTTGGTTCATGATTTGTGGCTTGGCAGTACACTGTGGGCTTGTCTTGTCTGGGAGGCTTGTCTGCCCCTTGGAGTGACTTGCTCAACTCCTAGTTTCAAGCAGCAGCATAAAGCGGCCTTGCTGGCCCATCTAGGGTTGGCTGGTGCAGCCCAGCCCATAGAAGCAATGGGGCTGCCTATGCAGCACCCAAGCCAGGCTCCTTCAGACAGTGGTGGGTGCAAGGTGACTGAGAGTGGCTAGAGCACAAAGATCAGAAACCAAACCCTCTGCCAACCTCTGCTGCAGTCGCTGTTACTCAAGTCCCATGGGCTACAGCAAGTAACCTGGGAGAGCCCAGATTAAAGAGCCACCAGGTCAGCCTCCTGGGGCAGAGACTGCAGAGAAGGGGACGGGGCCTAGAGGGGTGCGCAGAGGCCTGAGGCTTTGGACAGGCACAGAGGACTACAGGGAGACTGGCCTTGGGGTAGGCCCACATCATCAGTGGGGTGAGGGAAGGCAGAGGCATGTGCCTGGACCTTGCAGGTTTTGTGGTACAGACTGAAGGATCCTTGTCTGATGGCTATTTTCTGAATGAAGCATGAGGCGATGTCATCAGCTGAGAGGGATCTGGGAGAGGGTTTGAGCGGTGTAAGAGGAAAATATAAAAAGACATCCAGGTATCTGCAGGAGTGGGGAAGTGGGCCTACTCAAAAAATGAAACAGGACCCTGGCAGTGCCGAGGGCCCTCCCAGGCTTTGCCGTCCTGAACTTGGCAATGTACGGACAGCTCCATGTTGAGAGTCTGCTTCAGGCTCAGCTGGCAGAGAAGTGCTGAGTATGCTTCATCTGGGCCTGGAGCTTTGCAAAAGGGGTGTGCAGCTGGGCGAGAGGAGGGGTAAGGCCAGGAGATCAGGCCTCTGGAGCCACACCAGCCTGACACCCAGGCTTGCACACATAGGTGGTCTCACGGAGTGTCACCTGTGTACACACAGGTACTCCTTGCACACATCTATTCTCCATATTTGCTGGAGAATAGTCAGAGGCATGTGCTGCACTGACACAGGTGGTGAACCACACCAGGTGGACATCACACCCACATGTGTAAATACCCACATGCATACGAACAGTTGGTGCATAGACCTGTGTTGGAGATCTGAGATAAACCTACAGACCATGTAGGACAGACTCATGGATAGTCACACAGACACCCAAGGAAAGTATGTACCTTCT